CCTGCGGAGGGGCGGGGCGTCGCCAGGGCGGGGCGAGGGCGGGAAGGGGCGGGGCAAGCACTGGAGACCCGGGACCGAAGCTGGTGGCCACGGCCGCAGGACCTGCGGAGGGGCGGGGCGAGGGCGGGAAGGGGCGGGGCAAGCACTGGAGACCCGGGACTGGAGCCGACGCAGCTTACGCGTACGTGCGGGAGGGCGTCACAGGTACGCAGGGCCCAGCCCCTGGGGCCCAGCCCCGGGCTACGGGTGCTCTCTGGGTCCCGCCCTTACTCTGAGCACGGCGAGCATGCCTCCGGGGCGCAGCAGCTGCAGACACCTCTCGTAGTAGGCGACGCAGTTCTCTTTGTCGGCGTCCACTACTGCCACGTCGAAGGTGCCGGCCTCGCCCGCCGCCAGGAGCTCGTCTAGCCGGGGACACGGGGACAGACGCGGCTGAGGCGGCGGTCCCGGGCCGGGAGCCCCTGACCAGGCCGGCCCCGGCGCGCGCGGCCGCCTACCATGAGGCCGGGCGGTTGGGGGCGCCGTCAGTGTCCCCGGGCAGACCTGGCCGCGGGCTCCGGCCAGTGACCCTGCTTGGGAATGGAGCGAGGCCCTGCCCGTGCCGGTGCTCACCCAGGGTCTCCAGGGCCGGCTGCAGCCGCAGGTCGATCTTGCGCTCCACCTCGGCCTGGGGAAGGAGCCAGGTGAGGGCCGGCACACGCCCCCGCCGCGCGTGCCCACGTGGCCCCGCTGTGCGGGCCACTCACCTGCCTCCACAGCGGCCGGCCCAGCTCCGGGGGCCCGGGGTCCACCTCGCAGGTCACCACGCGCCCGGCCGGGGGCAGCGCCAGGGCCAGCGCCACGGCAGAGTAGCCCGTGAAGGTGCCTAGGACGGGGGACACGGGCAGGTTCAGCCAGGGTGGGGGGCGCCCCAGTGACCCGGGCCCCCAGTGCTCTGGGCTGCGCGCCCCTACCCAGATCCAGGACCTTCTTGGCCTTGATGAGCCGCGCCAGGTTAGCCAGAAGCTGGGCCTGCTCACAGGTCATCATGGACTCCCCCTGCGGCTGCTCCAGGGTCAGCTGTGTGTGGGGAGAGGGTGACCCCAGCCCTGCCAGCCCCCCATCCTCGACACCAGATTCCGAGTCCCCCCACCCAGGCACGGCCGTGGGCGTGGCCGGCAGGGGCCAGGCCCCCAACGAAGGTCCACAGCAAGGAGCTGGGAAAACCCGGAAGCCCAGAGAGGGCCACTGCCCAGCCCAAGGTCACACAGCCACGTGGGACCCACCGAGCCCGAGGTGGTGCCCGTTCCTGTTCCCAGCCCTACTGACCAGCCTCAGGCTCCTCAGCGCTGGGTGCTCGCGCATGGAGCGGCTCAGCAGATACTGCCACAGAGGGTGGTCCTCCGCGGGCAGCAGGCGCTGCGGTCGCTGGAATCGTCTCCCTGCAGAGATCGGGCTCGCAGGGTCAGGGCCTGGGGCTCCGCAGCCACAGCGGTCCGCCCAGCCGCCCGCTCGCGGGGACCGCGCGCCCGGACCTGCTCTGCTCACCCAGGAAGAGCCCCGTGGCGAAGGCGGCGCCCAGCGCGGCCGAGCCCAGGGCCAGCGCGGCAGGAACCGAGAGCCGGGGCACCAGCTGGTTCATGGTGCGGATGGCAAATGACGGCGGGTCACGAGCACCGGAGCCGCGGGGACTCGACTCCGACCCGCGGGCGGGTCGGGCTCCACCTTGTTCTGGCTCTGCAGGCAGAGCCCTGGCCTAGGACACCATCTAGTGACCACCTCGCCACACTGCACGCTCCGCCCGAGCGCCGCGCGCCATCTGGTGGCAGGACGTGGAACTGCGCCGGGCCGGGGCCGGGGCCCTGCAGCCGGGGCTGGATTGTTTTGCTCTGTGTCCACTGTCTAGACAGACATCTGTGGCTGCGAGCTCACAGATCCAGTGCCTCTCCTGGATAGGCTTCTTTCTTTTCGGTACAATTTCCGATGAGCACCTAGGCTGTGTATGTATGTGTGTGTATGTGTTGTCCATTTAACGAGCATGGAACCAATACACTCCCCAGAGAATCAAGAGTGCCTCTAAGGAAGGAGTCCAAGGTTGGAGTGAAGAATTGGTTAGGAACTAGAGGTAGGATTCAGAAGCTTTGTATGGGACCTAGCTCTTAGGGTGCTGACAGATCTACTATCTCTAGCGGCTGGGATTCTGTTTTAGGGTGTCAGGCATGGCTGAGTGATCTTGGGCCTATCAAATCTCTCTGAGCCTCAGTTTCCTTTCTGTAAAGTGGCGCTCCCAATCTTACTGAAAAAGGTGCCAGATTCTACAACTTGGCACATAGTAGGTGATCAATAATGGCATCTACTATTACGTTGGAGGGAAGACATCTTGGGGCATTAATGACAGGACAGCAGGAGAGGATCGATTGCTGTTCTGCCAGAACAGACTTAACACATTGTGTGCTGAATTCTGGCGGAGGTGAAACATGCAGTACTGGTTTGTGGTTTCAAGGCAAGGAGACCGGCAGAACTGGTAGGCAACCCAAGCCTGGCTATTCCCACTTGTGTACAATGAGCAGTCCCCACCGCCTACAGCAGGGCCTCTGCGGGAAAATCCAAGTGCAGGATTGATGGAGTCGAAATCCTAAGGCCTGCCCTGTAGAGGTATCCAGGAGCAGTGACTGTTTAGTAACTACACTGGTGAGGCCTTGAATTCCACCAGCCTCCATTCCTAGGGGAGGCAGAGGTGTTTAGCGACAGAGTGACTTGACTAAGGATCAAAACCCTAAAACTTGCACCTCAGAAGCAAATGTGCAAGTGGAGTCAAGACTTGGGGCAGGACTCCTGGAGCTAAGGCTCTCTTCTCCAATCAGAAACAGGATGGACTTACTCTCCCCTCAGCCAATCAATGAATGATTGCCCTCAGGGACCAAGACAGGGTCGGGGCAGGAGCAGGCTTAGAGGTTTATTCTGAACCCCATCTCCTGCTTTGCTTCTTTCTTCCCTTCTGGTCTAAGCACACAGCAGGTGCTAAATAAATACTCTCTGAATAGCTTCCAGGTGGTGCCTTCCGCTCCTTGCCAGAGCTGCCAGCAGTGAGAAAGAACAGTAGTGGAGCAGGAGCACTTCATTGAGCACCTTACTGGGTACCAAATGCTGGCATCCCATTTTCCAGGAAGAAAATGAAAGGTCAGAGATGTGCCAGGCACCTGGCCAAGCTCGCTCCCCAGATGGTGTCTGGCTTTCCCAAACCCTTGGGCCTCCTGCACCTTTTGCATCCGGCTTAGCCTAAATAGGCTTTCCTGGCACCTCTGGGTGCCTCTGGCAGAAAGGCTGGCAGGGGGCCTGGGGCTCCGCCAGGCCCACTCTCCCCTGTCCTGGGGTCCTGGTTGTCCCTAAGCCCTGCTCTCGCACCAGAGCCTGCCTCCCCCAGCCTCGCTGCAGGCTGGCTTCCACAGAAGTGGAGGGAACAGGCCGGGAGGGGAGGCATGTCACCATATATCCCCGTCAGATTAAAAAACTAATTTGAAAAGATTAATGTATTCCATTCTTGTTACGCTGGCTCTGATACCTCTGGGCCTGCGGCCGCTCTGCCTCCTGATTATTGAATTTTTATGGCCTGGTAATTAATTGCAGATTCCCTGTTTTGTTCTATTTCTTTTTCTCTGACATTTTAATTTCAACAAAAAGCAGTGGTCTCCATGCAGGTTCTCTCTGGAGATCCTAATGGTCTATAAAACAGAATGACTTATGGACGTGGCACCCACTTCAGTTGGCGAGCGATTGTTTGAAACCTTGCTGATCACGCAAAATTTAATTTTTCTACCTCCCCCTGCCTAGTGCTGCTCTTTTCTTGTCTCTTCTCTCGCAGCAAAATGTCGCCAATGTATTAGAGTTTTTCCTTGAAGGCTGAGGGCTAAAGACAAAATGTGGGTAGGGAGTGTGTGGCCCTGAGCGGCGGCTCCAAGGCTTTGCGTGTTATGTGGTCAGTTGCTTTTTTTTTTTTTTTGTCAGTTGTGGGGCTGGAACTCAGGGCCTGGGTGCTGCCCTGGAGCTCTTTTGCTCAAGGCTAGCATCCCACCACTTTGAGCCACAGTTCCACTAGTATTTGTTGAGTGGTTAGTTGGAGATAAGAGTCTCAAGGGGACTTTTCTGCCTAGACTGGCTTCTAACTGTGATCCTCAGATCTCAGCCTTCTAGTAGCTAGGATTATAGGCATGAGCCATCAGTGCCCAGCTGCCTGCTTGCTTGCTTGCTTTCTCTCTCTCTTTCTTTCTTTCTTTGCTTTTCTTCCCATAAATGGCACTCTTCTGTTATGTGACAAAGCCGCAGACCCGAAGCCTGGCCTGGTAGCTCTCACCTGTCATCCTAGCTACTCAGAAGGCTGAGATATGAAGATCGAATTTTGAAGCCAGGAAAATTCGGGAAACTCTTATCTCCAATTAACCACCAAAAAGCCAGAGTGTAACTGTGGCTGAAGTGTTAGAGCACTAGTTTTGAGCACAAAAGCTTAGGGATAACCCTGAGTTCAAGCTCTAGTACAGGCACAGAAAGAAAGTACAGGCAAAGAAAAAAAGAAAGAGAGAGAAAGAGAGCAGGGGGGGAAGGAAGGAAGGAAAGGAAAAGAAAAGAACAGGGAAAGCAGCAAGTTCACTAAGGCCAAGAAAATGGCTGTTATAGATTAAGGGTAGAACGCAAGTGGTAGAGGCCTGCCTAGCAAGTACCAAGCCCTGTCCAAATTTCAGTATTGAAAATAAATAAGTGGGCAGAACAGGAAGGCCACAGAATCAGGGTGGGCCTAAGGAACAGGAAGTGGAACCTCTGCAGGCAGGTAAGGGAAGTGAGGGGAGGGCCCCGCAGGTGGTGGTGACTTTAGTACTAGATCTTGTGCCCTCCAGAGGATATTGCAGCCATTTATCTCTTACTGTGTGGTAGGAAGATGGGCCCAGTGTGGCCATCTCCTGGAACATCTTCTGGCTCAAGCAAAGTTGGAATTCCGGCTTTTGGTAGGATTCCTGATAGTAACTTATAAACATTTGAAGTCGTTTGTTTTTCTTTGCTTGCTTGCTTTTTATTGTTATTGTAAAGGTGATATTCAGAGGAATTATAGTTACATGAGTCAGGTAATGGGTACATTTCTTTTTGGACAATGTCACCCTTTCTCTTGCTCTTTTCCAGTTTTTCCCTCCCATCCCCATCCACAAGTTGTATAGTTCATTTTCAACATAGTGACTAGTGAGTATGTGGTTGTTGTGTTTTTATTTAAAGATAGCAGGCTTAAATGGTATGCAGGCTTGAATTTTCGGATTCATTGTTAAGCCATGAACAGGAGCCTCAGGGGCTCCAGAAGGGCTTTATTGCCCAGCTGATCCCACTGTGTCCTGATTTGGAGCCCTATACTCCTTCGCGCCTTCCATCTGCCTTTCCTCACCAGCCATAGGCTGTGCCTCTGGCACTCTTTGGGGATGGCCTGCTCTAGGCCTCTTCATAAAGAACAGTCCTGGGGCTTGAACTCTGGGCCTGGGCGCTGCCCCTCAGCTCTTCAGCTCAAGACGAGCACTCTACCACTTGAGCCACAGCGCCACTTCTGGATTTTTCTGCTTATGTGGTGCTGAGAAATCGAACCCAGGGCTTCATGCATGCAAAGTAAGCATTCTACCACTGAGCCACCTTCCCAGCCCTAGTAGGAGTCCACATTAGGGACCTTTTCATCTAAGATCAGGGCTCCAGGGACCAATTCAAGTCAGTAAGCTGAAGAGAAAGACCAAGATTCAGGGGCTTCTGGACTCCTGGGGCTCTGGCAAGGCTGAGGGCAAGCCTGGTCCCACCGCCATTCCTCTAGTGCCTCAGTTTCCTCAGTGGAGGGCTGAATGGGGAAAGTGACAATATGAGCTCTGCAAGCAAGTGGACAGATTCCATGGTGGTTTGTTCTAGATGAGTACACAGTTTCTCAAGTCAATAGAGTGACGGCTGTTTTGGTTTGGATCTTAAACATTCCACAAAGGCCCATAAGCAAAAGGCTTGATTGCCAGCCTATGACAATCAGTGTTGGAGTGTGGTAGAACCTTTAAAGGGTGGGGACTTTAAGAGGCAGGAGGAAGTTGAAGGGGAGTTGATACCTGCCCCTTCCTCTCAATCCTTCCTTCAGGCTTCCACGGTTGTGAGGTACTAAGTCGCTACAGGCCCAAAGCCAGTACACCGCAGACCTAAATCTCTAAAACCATGAGCCCAAAGAACCTTTTCTCGTTTTGTGTCTATCTGAGAAAGTCTGCTATGCAGCTCAAGCTGGTGGCAAACTTGGGACCCTCCTGCCTCTGTCTCCCGAGTGCTGGCATTACTGCTACTCCGCTTCTCCTTTTTAAATTTTTTCCTCAGGTATTTTGTCAGTGATGGAAATGTACCTCCCACAGATACATCTCTTGGTTTTCTCTTGCCCGCATATCCTAGCTCAAAACAGTACCCAGATATCGTATAGTGTGCCGGTCAAAACGGAGAAAAGCTGGGTTCTCTGACAGGTTCCCTGGGCTCAAGTCAGGGGCTGCAGGTCAGTGTATGTGTCTTCCGGACTTACTGGTGGTTGGTACAAGTTGGTTCTTTCTCATGGTAGTCTCCAGCAAGGCCAACAAAGGCACCTAGAATCTTTTGGCTGTTTCAAATGGCTCCGTACTCTTTTCTTGCCATTAATGGCTCATGAAATCACCCTGGGCCCACCTGGGTAAGCCTGTATAATCTCCCTAATTGTAGGGAAGC